CACACACACACACACACACACACACACACACACACACACACACACACACACACACACACACACACACACGCACGTGCATATACATGCATTCACAATCTCATTCACAATCACCGTAGGCCTATGTGCCCAAGTTTTTGCACTCAAAAATGAGTTTGCGTCTGGGTGGGGAAGTAATATTATATCGAGTACGTATTATAAACCTGTCTTGTTTTTGTTTTTTTTGGGCTTTTTTTGCTGTTGTCCCGTGTCCTGATTTTGGTGCCGATATTTGTAGGTTACGTAAAAATGTATTGACATGGTGCAAATTTGTATGTTTCAAGTAAAAAAGAAACAAGAAAAACGCAACGAGAAAAAGAGGAATTGTTTAGTCGGTGATGATGATGATGATGATGATGATGATGATGATGATGATGATGAGAGTAAATATTATATCTACTATCTACTGGAATGCTAAAGGCCGAGATGGTGTCGATAGGTGTGTAAAACATACATACAAAGAAATAGTCTTAATAATTATGCATGTATATATGTTAAATTTAGTTCTAATAAGGAACACATTTGTTTGATTATTTGTTTGTTTATTTATTTATTTATATATTTATCCATTCTTTCATTTATTTATTCATTCATTCCTTCATTTTTAAATTAATTAATTGATTTATTTATTTGGGACGGTCTGAAATATGGTGCTATTCGTTTGTTTGACTAAACTGCGTACATTATGTCACCGCATGAAGAGGATGTTACAATACTTAAAAAATTTCAGAATCGCAGACGAAAGCTAAGGGGAAGAAGGAAGGCGAAAGGTATGTTGCCGTGGGATTTTGTGTCCACCTTGTAACGAAACTGGGGCCTACCGCTGGAGAATCACTCTCAGGATGTGCTGATGTCCTGTTTCTTTCTGTTTCTTTTTGCTCCTGGTACACAATACAATTATCTTGTCTAATTATGGAGTTTGCTACTTTGATTTGGAACAGGAGATTCTACCTACTGACTTGTGAGGCATTTAAAAAAAATTGATTTTATTTTATTCGATCTGTTTATTTCTTTCTCTTTGAAGGATGATGATGTTTATGTAAGTATTAGTATGTTTCTTTCTTACTCCGCCATAATTTTTTTCAGTTGTTTTGACACGTGTATGAGTGTTAAAACATTGAAGGACCATTAATTATGTGTGTTTGACGCTTTGTTTGCTGCACGTTGGTGGTTTGAGCTGCTAAACTGAACCTGCGCTGTCTTGTCGTGGTTTTTGTGGCAAACACTTGCACTGTCCATGCAGAAGTTGTAAATTATTCGAAAGTGTCATTCATGGGCATACCGTTACGCATTTAAGTTTTATTATAACCGGCATCATAGTGCGCTTGTTTGAAATAAAAGTGGATTTGAAAGTCTCTCCCCCCCGGTACTCACAGGTTCATCCCCCCCCCCCATTTTTCATATTGTGAGCCGTTTGTGCCATACCTCCCAATGCCTTTTTTTTTTTCAAGCAGAATGGAAAGTGATATGTTTTCACCCTTACTTTTGGTAAGGAAAAGGGCAGAATTCTAAATGTGTAATCATGTTTAGCCCGTTTGCAGGATTACATTATTATTTATCATTTTGATTGTTTTGACGATTAGCCTACGTTTTAAAGCTTTTAAAAGTGTGCGTTTACGTGTGTGTGTGTGTGTGTGTGTGTGTGTGTGTGTGTGTG